TCTATTTGTTTTATTTGAGTTATTCATTTGAATATCCTTTGAATTAATAAAATCTATCTTGAGTTTATAAATTGTTGGTTATAACCTTTCTTTGTTGAAGTTGCATTAGCAATAAGTCGACAATATTTTATCTTCTATCAAATATTTTCTATTATAAAATTATATAAAACACATTTCTTAACCACTTGAACACCTAGTCAAGTATAGTAGTTTGTTAACCAAAGGTCTAACAACACTACATAACAATAGATTTACAAAATAAAAAAATAGATGTATACTTATACTGTAAGTAGAAGCAAACTTTACCAAATTTCTGATAGTAGGAAATTTATTTCACCACTCTAGTTTAATTTCACTGGCATATTTACCGTAAAAGTGCATATACAAGACCCCCATATATCAGACCCACCCTCATTTTTTACTAATTGTTTTCTTTTTTTACTTTTTGGTGAAATGTAAAAAACCCGGGTCTTGTATATGCACTTTTACGGTATTTATAGGTCCCGTCAATTAAGACATTACATACAGTAAAAATAAGGCCATTTAAATTAGCTAATTTGTTTCATGATCTTTTCGAATCGGTTTTCGTAGGAATTTCCGAATAAGCTTTTTCGGATTTGCGGATCGTTTTTTAAAATTCATAAATTATAAATTTTGTATGGTTTAAGATACGAACTAACCGAAATGAGACATGATGGTCCCGTTTAATAGAAACGAGGTAAATTTGATTGTCTATGTAGATATTTAAAAGTGATAAACCTTGTTTTTATTGTTCGGATAACCATATTTTTTAAGCAGGAATTTATCGAGTATTTATAGATTTCGAAAATAAACACGTGCGCTATTGACAATATTGATATGCGTGTTTGAAAAAATGAGTGATTAGAAGCCAGATGATGAATTAATAAATGAATGCATTGTAAGTAACGTAACAATACATCTATCTAGCGCTGGTTAACTTAACAATACAGTCAACCTAAACACACCCTCTAACTGAAAAATTCACTCTAAATACGACTATTTTTTTACTCTAAATGCTGAATTGCTGGATTTCTATTTGGTTTCCTCATAACCCCATACCTGAATACGTAATGAATTGTAATTTTAGATATTCATTATTAATTACTAATTTAGATAAATTAACACTTTTTTAAGGTAAAAGAATTGATAATAGTATACGTACGTATAATTTAAATTTTAATCTGCAAGATAAATATTCGAATATATATGTAGTGTATATATATATGCTGTATATATATAGTATATATATACATATGTATATATATATAATATGTGTATATATATAAAATATAAATATATATTTATATAGTACGTATATCTATAATTATATATATATATTTTTACATTATCATTATGTAAATTATGTAATAATGTACAGTACAAACCCGTTTATGTTGATTATAACAATAATTTGTAATTTAATTTAACGTTAATTTATTTAGTTGCAGATACATGTCGGTATCTTTTAGATACGTACGTACGTACGTACGTAGTTATCGATATATATATAAGCGTAATGGTATTATTGTTATACCGATATATACTAAAAAAAAGGCTGCGTACAATATGTAACGATAATTGGATATCCTATATTAATAAATATATATCGATATATATATATATATTTATATTTATATATACGTATATATATTATAAATAGTCAAATGATTATATAACATAATTGTAATTGAAATAAAATGGATAAGGAAGGTGAATTCAAATAAGAATTATTACAAACACTTTTGAACCATAAAGAGAATTGCATTTATCATCTATTGGATGATAGTTAGCTATGTTATATTATTGTAATTAGTATTCTCTTCGCGAGAACATGACTTGAGTATGCTTTCAAACATTTCACTGGTCTTGGCATGGCCACGAAAGTTTTCCAATTAGTTTGGAAAATACGTGCCATTAAAGACTCATTAAAGATATCCATCTATATGCTGAGATTAGCATTGAAACTAGTTAGAGTGATTTATCGAAAATTTGTACGTATGCTTTGAGTTATTACGAAATGAAATTTGATATTATATCATTCACGTGACTTTATTGAAATGGTTCGTAAGCCGGGACATTGCTGTGTTACCTTTTGAAATAAACGTTGTACAACAAGAGCATCGAACCACTTTTGATTTTTTTCCAAAAAACTAATACTCTCCTCCCTTATCTATTTCTCTCCTTAAACATGGCGGCTGAAACGGATAATGGCTGGAAATTTGCTCAATGTTTCGGGGACAAGGGCGAAGTCGAAGACATTACAGAAGGTACTTATCCTTTCGATCTTCCTGGCTGTTATTTTACAGACCGGATCTAACCTATTGGCTACGTGATGAGATTGTTTTTGTGGGTTCCCAACATAACATTTGGATGTGCAATGAGTCTTTGGTTTATTGCACTCATAAATATTCATGAGAGTGCTCCCGTCATTTAGGATTTACTCTCTGACCGTGTTTATGCAATGTTCTACTACTCTCTGCTGCAGATCAATAAAATGTTTGCTGAGTTGGATATATATATCTATGCCTTGGATAGAATAGTTTGGACTATATATATATGATCTGATTTTGTACAGATAGTATACATACAGTCTTTTAGTGCCAGATCGTGAATCATTTTGATGTCGGTTTCTTTTGCAACAAAGATTCTATAGGTCTGACAACTATATTTCCACTATGCAGCTGACATTATCTCGACCGTGGAATTTGACCACACGGGTGATTACCTCGCCACTGGTGACAAAGGAGGACGAGTGGTTTTATTTGAACGTAATGATAGCGTAAGTTGTTAATTTTTTTTTTTCAAAACAAAAAAAAAAAAAAAAAAGAAAAAATATATATAAATTATTATGCGTTTATAAAACATTATATTTCTTTATAAATAAAGAAAAAAGGATGTGAATACAAATTTTATACCGAATTTCAATCGCACGAACCCGAATTCGACTATTTAAAAAGTTTGGAAATCGAAGAAAAAATCAATAAGATCAAATGGTGTAAGCGGCAGAATGCTGCGCATTTTTTATTATCAACGAATGGTCTGTCTTATAAATTATTGAATAATTTCCTGGGGTCTGTTATCATTTTTCAGTAAATGTATGTAAAATAAATGCTTTTATTTTTTATTTTTTATTTTTTATTTTTTTTGTTGGAATCATAGACAAAACTGTCAAACTTTGGAAAGTTTTCGAAAAATCTCTTAAGGTGGTGGCAGAAAATAATCTTAGTGATGGTTCGAGACCTCAAAATGGAAAAATCCAACATTTAAGGCTACCTAAACTTACACATCATGACACAATTATTGCAGCTGTTCCTCGCAAAGTATATGCTAATGCACATGCTTATCATATTAATTCCATATCAATTAACTCTGACGGTGAAACATATATATCTGCGGATGACTTAAGAATTAATCTTTGGAACTTAAACATTAGTGATCAAAGTTTTAGTATCCTTTTGATATTTAACTGGTCGTGTCAGCTTAACCATTTATTTCTCTTAATTTCATGTTTCCTATGATTCCTTCACTGCAAAAACAATTTTCAGATATTGTTGATATTAAGCCGATAAATATGGAAGAGCTGACTGAGGTTATTACCGCTGCGGAATTTCATCCCATTCATTGCAACCTTTTTATGTACAGTAGCAGTAAAGGAACTATAAAGCTTAGCGATATGAGAGCCGCGGCTTTGTGCGACAGACACGCAAAATGTATTAACTTTTTTGTTTTGATTGTAATTTGATAATTATGTTTATATGTTACATATGTATCTAACTTTCTTCACTTTAAGTATTCGAAGAGCAAGAGGATCCCGCAAATAAATCTTTTTTTTCGGAAATTATTTCTTCTATTTCTGATGTGAAATTCAGTAAAGATGGTCGATACATCCTCTCGCGTGATTATTTGACCCTTAAAATTTGGGACATATCCATGGAAAATCGACCACTGAAAACAATCAATATTCACGATCACTTACGAAATAAGCTTTGCGACCTTTACGAAAACGATTGTATTTTTGACAAATTTGAGTGTACATTTAGTGGTGATGGCCAGTATGTTGTTTAATTTGCATTCGTCGTATTTATTTTAGCATTTCGTATAATCGTTTCATTTAATCTTTTTTAAATTTTTTAGAAATGTCTTGACCGGTTCATATAATAATTATTTCCATATTTATGATCGGGATGGCCTAACTGATATTGCTCTGCAGGCTGATAAGAGTGCATTTAAGGCAAAACGTGTCGTATCAACGAAGAGTAACAAAATACTTCGTGGAAAGAATAATAAGAAAGAAGAGATTAATGTGGATGCTATCGATTTCAATAAGAAAATTCTTCATGCTTCATGGCATCCAAATGAAAATTCGATTGCTGTGGCTGCCACTAATAATCTTTTTATTTTTACGTGCGTATGAATAATAAATTCATTAATCCTTTCTATTATTGCTATTTAAATATTGGTTTATTTGAATTTTATTTATTTATTTATCTATTTTTATCTTTTTTTTTTTTTCCTGCTTGACTTTCAAAATCTAAATTCTTTGTTAATTTATTTTTAATATCACCATGCATTCAGCGAGTAAGTCAATTTTGATTTTTTTTTTTTCCCAGTGATATTTTATCTTTGTTTATTTAATTTTAATCTTTTTTTTTTTTTGCTTGTCTAATTCAGGCTATAATTAGGGTTGTGGCCCAAACCACTTTTTTGAAATATATATAGTTTGGGTTTTGGAATCAGGATTTCTACCTAATTTGGGTTCATAACTAAAACCCAAATATATCTCCCATTTTCGATAAATAGTGTCAAACTCAAAAAACCAATCAAATTTGTTAAATTAATGTTAATAAATACAACATATGTGCATTTAATATCCAAACTAACCAGGAATGGATTTTGTAAACAATAGATTTTCATATATTATGATATAAAAAAACAGATGATTATTAATTTGATTGGCTTGATAAACCCTATATAATATAGGCTTTTTGTAGTAAAGTTTTATTTAATGATATTTATCCTCTCTGTCTCGGGTGAATGAAATGGACGATCAGAGAAAAAATGTATTATTACGACGCTGTTTTTTTATATGAGTATGTTTGCTAACGAAAAGAATTATAATAAAACCTTGTTTTGTTATAAACATTAAAATTGTATGAATTTTGAGGATGGATTAGGTTGTGCAACCGAGTAGCAACCAATATTCAGCAGATCGACCCAAATTTAGGGATCGGAATTTATCAACGCTAGCGCTAGGCCAGCATTAAGCAATAATACTAACCAACTATATGATAACAAAATAATCTTAGCAACTTTATTTAATAAGTTCGGGAAACAATCAATTTATGACGGCACTTTTCAATTTTGAAAATATAAATTTAAAATTAATTTTGGATAGCTTGTTTTAGTATCATAATATGCAGTAATTTACATAGTAATTATATATGGTCCGGTATAAAAAGATTTGTATTAATTTTGGTATTAAGTAAAAGTTTTTAAATTTTTAATTAATTATTGTGAAAATTAAATAAAATCAGATTAAAATAAATTTTTATAATGTAAAATAGACAAGTTACCAAAAATACAAAATTTGAAATATATGTTTTGATTTTTTTTAACATTGGAGATTAACTTTAGAGATAGAGTTTATAGTAAACAAGTATGAGTAGGTTTTAAAAAATTAAATAAAAATTTTAAACTTTAATTTAATCTGGTTTTATTATTATTATTATTATTTTAAGGTAAGATTTTGCTTATATCTTTATTAGTAATTGTTGCAATAATAATTATATTGTTACAAAGCTATAGCTTTCTTAAACCAATACAGCTATATAACAAGATTACCCAGTATAGTGATTGACTTTTGCAAATATACACAGGGTGGAAGTGTAGTTGTTCACTTAACTACATAGCAGAAGGCAAATAGTTCAAGATAGTAACAGTATATAGAATAACTTTATTTTATATAAGAACACAGTAATAGCCTTGTCTGTAGAAATTACCTTAAAAAAGGAATATCAACTTTACAAGATAAGAAGAATATAAAGAGAACAAAGTCTAAGTTGAAGTATAAAAACTTGAGAGTTGGCAAAAAGAAGAAAAAACATCCTTTATATATCTTTTTATCCAAAGAAAGAATACACAATATATAGTAAATAAGTAATATTTGGCAGGAGAAGTTAGAAGATTATACTGAAAAAAGTTGGAAAAATTGTGAAAGAAGAATTTGGAAAAGAGAAATTTGGAAGATTTTGTGATATAATATCTTGTATTCAAAATACTTAAACTTTGTATAAAAAGAATTTAAAAGATTCTATATAAGAGAACTTGAAGAAAAATATATTACTTTTTTGTATTACTTTTTTGTATAATCTAAAGTATGTCCTTGTGTAATTTTGTATTATCTCAGATTATATAGATCAAGTGACTGCATCACACTTTCTTTTAGCCAATCAAATTACTCTTATATAATTGCTATATAATATATTATCTAAATATATATAAAATTAATATATAATAATATAATAAATCTAAATAATATTTTAAGAGAATTTCTAGATATCTCTGGCCAAAGATATATAGCTTATATATCTCTGGCTTTCTAACCAATCAAATAACAATAAGATCACATAATTAAAATTTATGTATTAATTCGATTATCAATATTAGGTCGAATATGATCAACTACTCGATTTAGTAATCGCGTATATATATACATGCTGCTTTATATATTTTGTTTTTTCAGTTTGAAGCTTTAGAAACTGACATATAATTAAACCTCTCTATAATCATACTCTTGGTTTTAAGAATTTGGTGTTTATAGAGAGTTTGTACTTATATAAAGATTAAATTTTATAAGTGCTATATAAGTTGATTTTAAAATTTTATATAACTATAAGCAAATGTGACTATAGAGGAAATAATTATAGAGAAGTCTGACTATATTTCAGAATAAATATTTTTTTTTCATTTTGTTTAGTTTTTTTTTATACTGGTATTAACTTTTTTTTATTTTTTATAGAGCTAGTATTTAGTGCTGAAACGAAAATTTAAGTTTAAAACAATTGTTGCTATAAATTAAAATCTGGATAAAATTGTTAATGACTTCATTAACTCTATTTTAATAGTAATATTTTGGAGTATTACTATTAAAATAGTATTAATAAAGTGCTCTATTAACAACCTCAGATCTGTGTTTTGTAATTTACTGATTTTAAAATTTATGAAAGACCAAGTCAAGTATATAGCTAAAAGTTTTAAAAACTCGTATTTATTTAATATAGATTTTGCATTTGTTCTTGGGTCTAATTCATAATAGATCTATTTTGGAGGATCTTGTATACAGTAATATATATTAGTTTCTATTTGTTTTCTTTGTTTTCTTTTTTTTTCTCTTGATATTAACTTTTTTTTTTGTAGATTTCATTTAGCACTAAAATAAGAATTGAACTTGAAACTGAGTTAGTGCATTATAAGTATAAACTTTCTATTCGCTTTTTTTAATTTTTTTTTGTATTAACTTTTTTTTTTTTGACTAAAATATTCAGTAAAGTTAGCCAATTATATTTAAAAAATAAGTTTCGGGATTTTTTTAACAAAATTATTAAAAAATATATAATTTGCATAATAAAAAAAGATTGAAAACAAAAGTGATAGTTCAATTCTTATACTGATCATCAAAACACAAAATTCCTGAAACTAAATTTTAACAAAAATATAAAAAATACACAAAAGTCACTAAAAAACTAATCTCGGGCTCCTAAGTAAAGAGGAAAAAAACCACAAGAAATACTCAGTCTCTTAAAAGACTTGAGTAAGAAAAACAGAAGCGACAAAGAAATA